CTGAGAATTGAGTGATATTAGGACCAATCAAAATGCAATACAGAAAATGACTTGGAGCAGATGTCAATTGAGTGTCAAAAAATTATAAGCCAAAGTAATCACTCTGCCAATCACAAATAACTCTCGGACAAGTCAGTAGCTGCTTAGCAAAATCAAAGCAAATGCCTTTAGCTGACGGGAAGAGTGGAAAAAACGTGTGCGAGTAGCTCAAGATTTTCTCAAGCCAGGCGCTTGGCGATTAGCTTAAGCAAATGGTTTACCAAAATCATAGTTAGTAGAGGAGACTGGTTATGAAGCCCGGTAAACCTCAAAGGAGCAAATAAAGATGCCAATATTTATGTTGGAAGGTCCACGACCGTGCACAATCTTTTGTTTTGCGCTCATACACTATGCATGAATTACGTAACCGACACGTTTCTATTAGTTAGTTCCTCAGTACGGAGTAAACAACTGTTGTGTTTTGTGCACGGTCAAGGCCAAAAAAGCGAACAAAAACATACAACAAAGAACTTTGAAGGGCTTCATAACCATTCCCCTCTATTAAGTATGCCAAAATTAATGCGAATTACTTTCGACTGCACTCAAGCGAAAACCGGTTTACTCGACATAAACATTGGCCTTTATTTGTCATAAAATGCACTTCCACATGTTATTTGATAAGCCTAGTTTCAAATGTGGGTTAATGACTAAATTAAAATCCTTCCGTATTAGTGCTGCCCTTTTTGCCTTCCATGCTTTTAGCGTCAGCTTTTCTCTGGCTCAAAGTCATTCGCTAATTCAGTTGCAATGCCCTTTAGTTCGTTGTCTTGTGCCTCCAAATTGCAATTCGACCAGGATAGAGGATTCACATGCAAACTCCATTAAGGCAGATGTAGCTTCCTCTCTAAATAGTATAACTTCATTTTATTTATCGAAACAATGAATGCAGCTTAATTTTTTGTACCTATTATCTTGTGGAGAATTTTCCTTATTATCCTGTGGAGACATAAAGTGTTCCTTTCGATACGAAACACAATATCTAGACTAGGTTCATATGCCATTAGATAATAATTCTTATATTGTTAAAATAAAGTCAAATTTTAGCAGTTCTCCTATTATTTTCCATCAAAGGGGAAACGCGTAGCTTTCTACACAATATAATTGACACGTATAGGACGACGCGAAAGAAAACAACTCATATTCATCTAGCAACAGAATTATAGATACTGAATTTTTAGGCTTGCGTAAAAATATTTGCGTGTGAGGTAATAGCACGTAAGGTTAGAACCCAAATATTTCAACCAAAAACATCGTTTTGACGTCAGGATAAACCTGACACTGGGTGTTCATACAATTTAACGGGAAAAAATCGCTTTGTTATTTTTTAAAACCAGCGCTGACCACCCTACACATGTAGATCTTACACCAGTGCACTTGTTCTGTGTGGTTCTTAGACACAGAGAGTTGCGTACATTGTTGTCTTCATTACACAATATTGATATTCATTTCTTACTGTTAATCGTTACTCTTAAATACATAAACATGTACGCTGTTAGCCTGCGGAGCAGACGTTCATTTCCAGAAGCAGGCGAAGGGAACGAAACTACAAGCAAGTGCGAAAAATAAGGAGCAGGGGGAGGGTTGGGCAACCCCTCCCGCTTCTCCTTTTGCTCTCTCCATGCCCATTTCTCTCAATTTTTTTCTCACTCCAGGCGGTCGCTTGCTGGCTCGTTTGCTCAATCTCGTTTGCTCAATTACCCCGCAGCCTGGAAAATGGAAAGGAAACGTCTGCCACGCAAGCTAGTGCGCCGCCAACGCTGAAAACTTGCAACGACAATTCATTTTGAGATTTACAATGCCAATGAAAAAAATGTAACTTTGAGCAAATTTACCATTCTATTCCGTGAGCTGTTCAGAAATAACTGTTATTTTTAACTTTTTGGGTGAGAAAATTCCATTTTATTAAGTGGCTCTCCTGACCATTTCTCGTTGCGCAACAGCTCCAGCTTAGCCAAATATTTCTCTGCAATTCTTATCTTGTTTTGTGTTTGTTTTTGAATGATCTAATCCAAGACACAAGTGCCATTAAAAACCGAAATAGATTTTGAGACACGCACGCAATACACCTTCAAAGTTTTTTGTAATTTTATGAAGTCAAATATAGCACGTGACAGGTCTGTTTTCAAACTAGGTACAACTAAATGAAAATTAATAGCTGATCTATTTGTAGTGTTCTCTCATTATTCAATATTTGAATTTACGAGCGGAATTTATGCAAAAAGGAAATTTTATATTTCTCCCTGCGTGGTTGGAAGACTGACCTGTTCTCCCACAGCAGCGATTGACAAATAACTATTAGCAACATTCATTTTGATGGACAGAAACTGTTTTCTTTTATTATTATTTATTTATTATTAAGAAAATTTGAATGTTATTTTATACACCTTGGTAACGCGCGAGGTCTTACGTGCATCGAGATAATATTAGGGTTTGGAATGATAAGTGCCGGGAGAAAAGCCAGCGAACACTGAAGTAAAGGAAACATCGAAGCAAAGATAATACCAACACAAGACCGTATATTAACATGTTAACTAGCTTCAGCAATTTGATTCAAGAGATTAAGATAAGATATCGTGAGCATTTTGGATTTGATTGGATTGAAATTTACATGTATTTTTTTGACACTCGTGAAAAAATAGTTTTGGAAAGCATTTCACTTTGTTAAATGTGTGTTTTTAGTAAAAAATGTTTTGGCTTATGTTGTTTGCATGTTGTTGCGTTGTTATATTGTTGCGTTTCGTATATAATCATAAGTAAGAAGAACACAACTCCGTTTTAATATAGAATGAAAAACGAAATGAACACGATCAGTAGAATGCAGTTTGCGAAATCTTTCACCTTTGAATGCGATGCATATTTCAGTCATCTTAACTGACACGGTTTAACGCCTTCACTCAATCAAAAAAACAACAGACACTGCCTCGCCAATGCTGCCGTGACAATTCAGCAATACAAAGCCGTTTAAAACAGTATCATATGGTCATGGTTAAATATTTTACCCAAACACTCAGCTTTGCTGCAAAAAAAAAATTTTAAAAAAACAACATTTAGAAACTTAACCACATTTAAGGTGCTGTAGTATAGTAAAACTTAAACTCTATGTCTGAAATTTCACCTCTCCTTTTCCTGAGGGATTATCTTCCCCTAGAGAAGATTACCACCTATCACTCACTACTCTGGGGGTTTATCACCCTCTAGAAAGGATTATCACCTCTCACTCATTACCCCAGGGGATTGTCACCCCTAGAGAGGATTATCACCTCTCATGCATTACCCTGGGGGGTTATCGACCCCTAGAGAGGATTATTACCACTCTCAAAGTACCCTGGGGGATATTTCACCCCTAGAAAAAGTGACCTACTGTCCCTTGTTGGAGTACTTCATCCCTTCATCCCCTTTTTCCCACAATTATTCTGGTTAAGTTGTCTGCTTATATGGTATAGTAAGGGTTATGGGTTGGGAGCATTGAGACGAAATCCGATAGGAAATCAGTTTTTAGTAGACAAAAACCTGGTACCGGAATAATTTTAGGTATTACAGTCCTTTGTACATTTTCTTAATGCTTAAGAAATAAATAGTTGCCTGAAGTAACACCGAAAACAATTTCCCATGGGAACTCGAGAAAATAAATTTCAAAGTTCCGAGAAATTGTGCAAAAAGAGGTGAAATTTCGTCATCAGTTTCATTTCACCAGTACTTTCAAGTGTTTCATATGAGCTCCAAACTTTGTTTTCGACATTCGGTGTTGTTAGAAAATCTAGGAATACTTCTTTTTTAGAAGATATTTAAAACAGTCGCACAGAAGTTTCCGAAACGATGTAAATAATTTCGGCACAAAGTTTTTGTCCACTTGTTGCTCGAACTTCTGGTGGATTCCTTCGTAATACTTTTTGTAGTGTAGCTTTTTCACTCTTTTAAATTTTCGAAATGTCCTTTCTGAAGTGCCACTAAAACTAATATCGTCATATCATTCCAAAAATTTTGTTCTTTATTTTTATGATTATCAAACACGTCTCAAAGTTCTCATTTGAATAAAATTATTCTTTTTACCTGATCTTTAACCTAGTGGCTTTCTGATGTTGTAACATTGATGAAACATCTCTCGGAATTATATGTTATATATCATTGCAACTGTCTTTCTTTTTTTTAATATTATTAAATTCTCAAGGGAATACTACATTTTCTACAGCGGAATTGACAATAGATGTTTTTAAAAACAAATGCATGCAGTTATCTCTTTTTTAAAACTTTTTGAGAGTTGCTTCAGAACACGTTTGCTATATTGAAGAGCTAATGATCACTTGCGCCATACCCGCTGTTATATTTGCCCATGATCTGTGTGTCAACACAAACACGTTACTTTATATCTAAAAAGTTTCAATATCTTACACTCCATTTAAAGTTTTTTTACGAATATTTTCTTGACGAAAAGATGAGACAATAAAATTGAGTCAAGGGATACAAAGTGACGCAAAGCTACTAGCACTCCTTTCAAAGTTTACAGGAGCTTCAAACTTGACTCTGAATTCTAGAAACGTTTGGCTCTCTAGAAAAAGGTACATGTAGGTATGCACATAACAACAATACGGACTACTCTAGGTTATAAATTATTCAAATGTTTGGGACAATCGAAATGGTTTTAATAGGTAGTGACCTTCCTATTTCCTGTTGACGACAATTTGTCCTTGCGTACTTCTTCAATTGAGGCCTTATTTTTGGTAACATCGTATCCCAAAATACATGAAGTGTATTATCTGAAGTCACAATACGGCAAAGACACACGGAATTTCGGACGCCAACAAGTGTACTTCAATGTCCCCTTCAGTTCAAGAGGAAAATGACCAAGCAATACGCACGTCACGGAAAAATATTGAAATATTAATTGAGAATAGGAATAGACCCGGTAATTCTGTTTGCAATATCATACACCAAGTTACGTTTAAAAGAACGAACGAATAGCACATTTCACTAGTTACAGACAGTCAGGTCAGCAATGAAGACATTTCTGCTGTTAGCCTTTGCTGGCTTTGTTCTCGCTGTGGGTCTCGCAGTTCCGTTCAGTGAAGATGATCTGGAATCGCAAGAAAATGAGTTAAAGGACATAGCTGAAGACTATGGAGAAGAGGACCAAGATGAAAGGTAGGGCTACTTGCAGTAAGGCGAACAAACAGGGACAAAAAGGGAGACATCTTCGAAGAGGTCAGCTCTTTTAGAGGCAAGATTTTTTCGTTTGCTGACCTCTTAGGACAAGATTGAACAGTTAGCCTGTCAACGGTCTTTTGCAATAAAAAACGAACAACTTCATAAATGATCAAGCTTTGCAAACTGCAAATTCCTAAACAAAGAGTAAACTACTGAAAATTTCAAAGTGGTCGCTTCTTCTAGAAATTACCAAGGTGTTGAAAGTACAGTTTTGAAGACAATTCCTCGGTATGCTGACCTCTTAGAATATGATGTAACTTAGCCTGCCATCGATCTTAAGCAATGCGAAAAAATTGTATTGATGGCTCAAGCTTAAAGTTAGCCAAGAAGCCCCACCCTTGCACCCAGTTTCTTTCTTTGTGGAAGCATTTTCCTATCGAGAGTAATGTTTCCATCAAGAAAATTCCATGTTTAATTGCTTTTTACTTCAAACTTTGATTGTTTAAGTTATTTGAGCTTGTTCGTATTATGAAATGTATGTACTGTGATTGCAGTGATGACGAAATGGACCCGGAAGATGAGTTTGATGATGACGACGATGATGATGAAGGTGTGGATGAAGACAACAGTGAACCCGATAACGAAGATGAAGTCACTGCAGTGGAAAAGTCATCCGACCCAATCTTTAAACCCGCCCGTCGATTCCGTTCTCGATTTCGTCCTCGATTCCGTCCTCGTTTCCGTCCGCGTTTCCGTCCTCGTTTCCGTCCTCGTTTCCGCCCTCGCTTTCGTCCCCGTTTCCGATTTCGCCGTGGTTAACTTGAGGAAATAACTGACATTACACTAAATCTGGTTAGTTGATATCAATTATAATATAACGTAGAGATAATTCACCCTCTGTGGTCCGTGATAAATTTTCCTGGATTTTCACAAGCTGACTTTGTTGCTGTTATCTCTTTTTGATCATTTAGCACTGTAGTGTCTATGTTGTTGAGTTTTGATAACAAAATTTACGTGTCACTATTAACTATTTTTAAGGCAGAGGTTTTTGTAAATTTAAGAATCATGTATGCCTTTTGGGGGTAGCTATCCACACTATCACACACTAATTTTTGTCCTCGTCACGTGTCACGCAAAAACCATTTGCTACTCCCGAAAGAGGCTTTCGTTTTGCTGTCAATAACGATCTAATAGGATCACCCTGTCGGTATCCACAAATCTAAGTTTCCAAACACTTGATACACTGTACTTGAAGTAAAATAAAAAAGGACTTCAGGGTTGTCAAATGCATGTAGTACAAAAGACAAATGATCCCGCTATGATTGTATCATATTGTAAACTATGTTACATTATTCTGTTTAATACATACCGTTCTAACTGGAATATCACAAACTCAAGAACTGATGAGGCACTAGATCACCACTGGTTTTTCAACACACCTATCAAATATATTTGCATCCACACATCAAGAACCTTACTTTCATTCCTTGCAACAGTTAATTATGCTAACTTTTGATGTTTCTACAGGTCCAGCTATGAGGCACGAAAGCAGAAGCAAAGCAAAGATTACACGACTGTTTAAATTTACATAAATATCTATGTGAAATTTGTATTTCAAATGGCTTCTGTAAAAGTAAATCGAACAATAAAGTAATGCCCACTTTGAGAACTTTCCTGTCTTCTCAGTTTTGACCTACATGTAGATTCCCGCCGATGGTAAACAGGTAGCACCCCCTCTTCTATCAGAACCTCATAACTTCTAGGTAAATTTGCAATTAATGTTTGTCAACTTTTATTTAGCTATTGAAAAAATAAAGTTGTAAACCATAATTAATGGAGGGGCCGGGAATAGTTATGAAACCCGACAAAGTTCTTTGTTGTATGTTTTTGTTCGCTTTTTTGGCCGGTGCACATAACACAGTAGTTGTTTATTCCATACTGAGGAACTAACCATTAGAAACGTGTTGGTTACGTAATTCATGCATAGTGTACTATGAGCGCAAAACAAAAGATTGTGCACTGTCGTGGACCTTCCAACATAAATCTTGGCGTCTTTGTTCGCTCCTTTGATGTTTGCCGTGCTTCATAACCAGTCCCCTCTATTAACTATGTATAAACAGTTAAATTCTGTACCAGTGCCACCCGCCTCTCCCCTTACGGAACTTACGCAAGTCTCAACAAAATTAAAAGTAGATGTGGTTACCAAGGGAACATCAAACTCCTTGAACAATGAGTTGTCTGTAGACAGAAAACGATTTTTTTTTTCAAGATGACGTCTGTGACTCCCAATATTATCGCCACCCCCTAATTAATTACAACAAATGTCGTCCCATTGTTGAAAATGACATCTTGCGATTGGATTTCGTTCATGAAAGTAGGTAGCCGGTGAACGTAAACGCACGATGTTTTTGTCTCTTTCTTGTTTTTTGTTTTGTTTTTTTTTTTTGCGGGGGGGAGGGGGTTTGCACTGTTGTAATTTTTTCAAGAATCAATACACGTATTATGAATACAGATGAACCTCCACCAACGGCCACCTCTATACAACGACCACTTTTTATGGTCCCAGGGGACAGTCCATGCATTCACTGTGATCTTAACCTGTCTACAATGGCCACATCTCCACAACGGCAAGGCATCTAAAGCGCGTTCCAACTGCAAAAATAACCTCTCGACAACGGTTAGTTAGTCAACGACTGACGAACGGTGAATACAGTCCCATTTTTATTGTAAAAGGTTACCAAGCTTCATCCGTATCATGCGTCGTAGTCATCATTAGTCTATGTTTTTTGTTGTTGTTGTTTGTTTAGTTTCTGGGTTTTTTGTTGTTGTTCTTTTTTGTTTTTTGTGTTTTTGTTTTTTTGTTTTTTTGTTTTTTTGATACGTGTTGATTATGTTAAAACATTCATATGCTAAAAAAATAAGCATTTTCTAAAGAAAAGAAATGTTGCACCCCAAAACAAAACAAGTCACATGTTACATCCCCTACCTCCCCACGACGGCCGCAGCCATTTTCGTCTGTCCCCAAGGTGGCCGTTGTGGAAAGGTTCAACTGTAGGTCGGTTGATATTAATGGACAAAAACGAATATCGATCGTGATCGTTAGAATAAAAGTACATGATGAGAGACAATTTTCTAAACTTTTAACTTCAAGAGCACAGTATGGTACTTGCTTTTTGGCATTTCTTTAACGTTAATTCTGAGACTCGAACGAAGAATCGGCGTAGCGCTGAAGCTTTTGGAGAAAAGATCGTGCTTATTTTAGTTTCCATTTACGATATGCTGTATCAATCATAAAATTAATTTTAGGACACGGTGTCTCAAAATATATGCAATATTTTGCGAGTTGGAAAAATAATGCTACAAGCGCATTATATATTGACCTTTTTCCATTTTACAAGAGGTAAATAACCTGAGCCGGTCTTCGCCATTTAGAAACGTCTAACATATCGACTTATATCATCTACGAACGCAAAAACATGGATGATGCAACTAACTGCTCATTTTATCTCAGGAACGAATTTTCAAGGATGAGGAACTTTGAACTTCTAAATAAGATAAATCAGATAAAATATAGTCACAGCAATCGATATTTGACAGGTAAGTGAAGCAAAATTTCGCCTTTTTCCAGAATGAGTATCTTTTTCAATTCTGTTATCATTTCAGGCTAATCCTTTGTCAGTTTACCTTCTTTCCTAGATCTGAATTGGTCTGAGAAAGGGTGGGATCTAAGATGGCGGATTGACGGGTAGCGGAGGACAAGCTTAATGGTGTGACGAACGAAAAACTCCTTGTCTTGTGGAGTAGACTGAGGGCTACCTCTTAAAACCTAACACGATTTATTAAGATATAAATTTATTTAAAGATTTATCTAAGGATTTATTTCGTCATGAAAAATATCCAGTCAAATCAGCTGTTAGCTACCTGAACGTTGTGTGATTCGAGATAAAAGTTTACGACGAAAAATAATTTTAAAAAAACAAGTTATGATGCCTTTTTCAATGTAGCAAAGGTAGCACGTTAATTGCTTCGTTAAAATCAAGGACTGGTGTACTAGTTTCACGACTCAGAACTAAACATTATTCTTGCTGTTAGAGAAGTGGATCTTGCCATCAAATTTACAATCGCGCTGTAGGTGGGTCGGCATTATTGTGAAAAAAATAATGGTCTTAGTTTGCAAATAAAATCTAGATATAGTAGCCAGTAAGCAGCTGCTCGGTGCCTACTCCAAGTAAGAAAGACAGAGAAACGTGGGGTAAAATACTCACTTTCCGGTTAAGTTTATTTTTTATTTAGTTTTGATTTTTATTGTTCATATCTCCATTTATGTGTCGTTCTTGTTTTTACTGAACTTCAACTGAATAAATCGTTGAAATGCCAAGAAAAGCAATTATGACCAATTCAATATGTTTTCAGTTCCAAAACATAACCCTCTGCAAAATATAGTAGGAAATATGAAAATGGAAAAGAAACAAAAATCTACCTACAACAGCTTTAATATTTGAGAGTGTATCTTGTAAGGACTAAAACAATTTCATTAATCCTTGTTTTTGTTTTGTTTTTCTTTTTTACAGAGTAAATAAGGTAAATCTAGTACCAAAAGGAAAACTAAGAGAAACACAAAGAGAACCTCAATTATCATTGTGTTATAGTGTTTATCGTAAAATTTCTTTTACTGGTTTTCCATAGCTATTATATTTTGCAGCTACCAGATGTTTACGTCGCGTAGGTTATTGATCTCATTTTATTTTGCTTCTAGCATCGAGATAAGTTGAAGATCATTTTAAACAATTCATGTCCACTGTTTACTATTGAATACATATGGGTGCTTTCTATTCAACCAAAAATTATGCAACTTTCCAAATGGAAGAAAAACTGTACGAAATTTCCTAGGAAAGTTTCCTGAAAACCTCAAAGTTGCTAAATTCCGAAATGCCAACCATGGGACAACAATTCCGGATATTCCAATTGGCTAAGACTGTTAGAAAAAAGCAAAGATGCAACTCTGGGGTACATCGAATAAATCCTAAAACTATCAGCAACAGAACCTAAAAAAACTCCATTATGATTAATCAAAGGATTTTGTATGACATCTTCGAAGCGAATGTCTCAAGGTACGGTGTGGCAAACGAAGCAAAAAACAAAAACAAAAGAGAGGACTCCAGAAATGTGGGACATACTAAGATGAATCATCTTTAAAGAGAGGACTTGCGTTAATTACTTCCAGTCCCAATCAAGCAGATAATTACAAGTTTCGGGGCGCAAAAGTAAACACAAGCCGTGATCATTGTTGAAGAAACTGACTCTACCATTAAGTTGACAATTACACCAGATGGCTCAAGCGAGCCGAGGCAAAATTTGAAAATTAAATCTGAGCACCAAAAGCAGGTGTAAGACGTTAACCCTTTCATTTCTTGTTTACCACAGAAAGGGATATTGCTTGGATGCTAAGTCACACACCGGACGGCTAGAAATTCATTTCAGGTAAGCCTTTTGTACTCTCGTGCCACTCATTTTACCATTTACAAGGTATTTCACCTGTACAGTCTTGCTGTATCGATTTTTCCTCAACTCGTTCGCACTTCCGAGGTTCCAAATTATACTACTTCACTCTTCTCAAAATAAAGACCACGATAAACTTCCAAGGGAAAATGGGTTCAAAAATTACAATAGAAATAGAAACAGACTTGATAGCAAATCTTCACCACGAAGCATGAGAAATACCCCTTTTTGTTAAAAAAAAACACTACTCAAGAGAACCTTATGCCGAGTTTCAAGAGAGGTAGGTTTTTCATGTATTTTTTTTTTTTAATTTACTATTTTGTCGGCGTTTTAATATCGGTTCTTCAGGAACACAAAATGTTAGTTTGAAAAAAAATTGCAGGAAAGAAAATAGAAAATATATTGATTCTTTTCAGCATAGTAGACAAGAAAAGAATAGAAGTTGTCTGTAATATGACTAATTGCTTAGCTGTTTATTTTTTTTGGGGGGGGGG